GGACTATCAGGTAGACCCGTTGGAGTGCCTAGGAGAGGAAGCCTAAAATATGCACGTGGACAGTGACGAGGCCTGATGGGCTCACGTGGCTGAGACGCCCGGAGTTCTCCAGGCCCGCCTGTGACCTGACTTCTCGCCGTCTCCGCCCCATGTTCTGCAGTGCACACTTCCTCCTCAGCCTCCCATTTGCACCGTCTCCGACCTTTGGCCATTCCAGAGTCTTCACTCAAGAGGCCAAGGTGGCTGTAGCTGTTCCGGGCCCCACTGCTTCCCACCAGACTCAGCAAACAGGGAATCCCAGCTGCTCCTTCTAGAACATTCTAGGCTCACTGCCTCTCCCTGAACTGATGGCTGTGACCAGGGTGGGCTGGGCAGCACAGACTGGCCCAGACGCCCCAGCGTGTGCCCTTGGTTTCCTCACTTGTCCTCTGGGTATCCGCTGTGTCCCGGGCTCTGCATCACCCGTCACGCCCAATGCCCCTCTTCACACTCACAGAAGCTTCTCAGGTTGTTGCAAGCACCATCTCCATTCTACTGCTGAGGAGCTCAAAGCTCAGAGAGGGGGAGCACCTTGCCCAGGGTCACACAGCCAGTGGGTGGTGGAACTCCCGGTGAGCAGCACATTCGGGAGCTAAAAGGGGTCCTGAGCTCTCAGCCCCTGCGTCCCTGCCTGTTGCGGGGGAGGGGGCGTCACTTAGTCCCCAGCTACTGCTGTTCGCCTCCTGCTGCTGTCCTGGCGATCCCAGTCCCCCAGGCAAAGGGCCTTTCCACAGCTCCCAAGCTGCAGACCAAGTTGCTCAAACGTCCCGCTTCCACCTCTGGCTTCCTCTGGACTCCCTCTTCTCCCCGCCATCTCCATCTGTTTCCATGGCAACTGCTGGGCTCCTGCATCCCTTTCATCCTCCTTTCTGGGAAGCAAGGCCGGCTCTCGGGCACCCCGGTAGCCAGGCCTGGCCATTATAAAGACCAAAGAAGCAATATCTGAAAGAGATACTTCCAGGAAGGGCGAGGAACCAGGTCAGGATTCTGGTTTTTTTTTTTTTTTTCTTTGATGTTCTCCAAAATAACGCCAGGTGCTCCAAGGAGCGCTGCCAATTACTGCGGCCCAGCGGATCCTACTGGCTAGAAAGTTGTTTGTCATCAGTTCTCGGCCTCTCGCCACCACACAGTCACCAGGCCTTCCTCCCAGCCTGGGGCAGAGGGCCTCCTCGCCCACCTTCCCTGGGAGACCGCCATCAGGATGTGCCCTCTCTGCCCCTTCTGGAGAAGAAGGGCCAACAGCGCACACAGCGCCACTCCTTGCCCCTGGGAGGGGCCCTGGGGCACGGAAGACCACTCTAGAAAGAACTGGATACATCCTGCCTGGGAGCTGGGTGCCTGGTCCACAAGGACTCCATAAACCTTAGAAACTGGGGGTAGGGGGTGGAGAGAGGACCAGAATGTTCTCAATATCCTGCCCCTGCTAGGGCTTGGTTGGGTGTTAACCTCTCTGAGCCTCAGTTTCCTCATCTTTAAAATGGGCCCAGCTCTTGCACTACAGCCCTGATGGGCCAGCTGTGAGGACCACAGGAAACACCACACCTTGAAGGCTGCATTTAAGCTCCCGAGGTGTTCCCGTGGTCCCCACCGTAGCTCCACCACCACTGTCATTGTCCTGGTTATGAAACCGGAGGGGAGGTCCTGGAGAGGGGAGCGAGAGCTCAGCTGTGTGACAAGGTTGGCAAGAGTCCCAATTCACTGAGATGCAAACATCAAAGAGTCGTGTTTTATCACCACTGTGTCAAAAATATACTCGTGGAATCGCCCTTCCTGTCTCTCGATGATTGTCTGAATCCATGGTGTTCTGCTCACAATCAGTTCTTTAAACTTGATCTGGCCCGGCTCAAAACCCCAGTCTCTTCTCCAGCACAAAGGTCCCCTGCGACCCCACTGCATGCTGGATGAGGGCCTTGGCTGAAGGTTGAGCCTGGGCAGGGGGGGAGGCCTGGCTCTGACATATCTCTTCCCAGGTCGGGAGGGCTGGCTGCAAGGGAGACGGGGAAGAGGAGGTTTGCTCAGGCAGCTGGTCACCTGCGGGTTGTGGCGGCATCCGGGGTTCTGGCTGCTGCTGCTCTCGCTGTGGTTTGACAGTGCACTGCCCAGGTCACGTGCTGACTTTGCGTTGCCACTGTGACAGTATTAAGAGGGTGGGGAATTCACCGGTGGACTCTTTGGAGGTGCTTAGGATTGGATGAGGTCAGGAGAGCGAGGCTCCCACGATGGTATTAGAGTCTGCGTAAGAAGACCTGCGCCAGCAGCCAGCTCTGTCTGCCCTGTGATGCCCTGCCCCGTGTTATGATGCAGCAAGAGGCCCTCCCTGGACGCCAGCGCCGGGCCCTTGAACTTCTCAGCCTCCAGAGCCCCGAGCTACATAAAACCTCTACTCCTTAGAAATCACCTGCTGCAGGCTTTTTGTCCTAGCAACAGAAAATGAATGAAGATGGAGACACGGGGTCTGTGATCCCTGCATAAGGGAGTCGGTCTGCCTGGAGCAGATTTTGCCCCTCCCCCTGGCCCCACCCTCCTCAGACAACAGGGATACCTTATACGCTGGCAGGTCCCTCCTTTGCACACACCCAGGAGCCACAGCCACCCCCCAGGGTGCAGAGGACCCTGGTCCCCCATCTTCCTTCTGCATGCGGCACAGGACAGTCTGGGCTGCTTCGTCTATAAGTCGGCAGCAAGCACCAGTCGGTCCTTGCACATGGCCCAAACTCCAGAGTTCTGCTCGCCCCACCCCGCCTACTAGGGACTAGCCTACCCAGGTGTGCTTGCCTGTACCCAGCCTGGGGAGATTTTCTGGAGGTCCCCCAAAAGCTTAGCCTCTGTGGAGCCCAAAGTGCTGCCCTCCCTACAGACTAAGCCTCCCCCCTGTCTCTCTCAGCCAGGCTTCTCCATGGCAGTCCAGGAGCCAGCCAAGAAGACATAAGGGGTCTGGCTCCGGGGCTTCCAGGTGGGACCTAAGTGCCACTATTTCAGAACAAGAAAAATTGCTCTCAGCCACCCGAGTCAATGACCATAACACCTGCCTTTTAATTAAACGTTTGCAGCTGCTGGAGTCTTGCTGGCTACCGCCTCCACCACGCCGTTTCTGGTCCGTATGCTGACTTTGTGGGACTAATGTTACCACGATCTCTATTTGCCCCAAAGACTCCCAACCAGTTCAGTGGGCTCCAGGGCAGGGCTTTGGAACCTGTTTCTGCAGGGCTCGGCTTGGGGGCGGAGGACAGAAGGATCTGCTTGGGCTCCACGGCTATGTGGCTCAGACAGGCAGGGATGGGCTCCTGGCAGTGGGACCCCAACGACGCCTCTGAAAGCAAGGGCAGAGTATGCAGGCCACTGTGGCCACCCCGCGATCACACCCAGGACCGTCTGGCCCTGGTCTCAGCTGCTCTGGACGGGAGGAAGCAGCACACCACCGGCACTGGTGTTCGGAGCATGGGGGGCTGAGCCGGCGCACCCCGCAGGCCCAGCAGGCAGTGAGTGGGAGGAGCTGCACCACAGTCTCAGAGCTGCGGGGCTGTGCGGAAGTGTGCTCTGGGGGCCACATCTGTCTCAGCTCTTTGCCTTGGCCTCCCTTTGGGGTTAGCCTCCCCAGAAGCCATTCACCACCCCAGGAGAAGGATGCTCACCAAGGAATTTCCCGCCAGGCTACACAGTGTGAAGGGCAGCAGCAGCGTGGGCCCATTTAACCCCTGGGACAGCTCTGAGAGGCACACCCTCGCCTTCCCACCCCACAGGAGAGAGACGGGGAGGCACAGGGAGCTTATGCAGTTTGGCCAACATCACCCAGGTTATTCCGAGATTCAGATCCAGCAGCCTGGTTCCAGAGTGCCTGCTCCTAACCACTGAGCCATCCTGCCTCCCTGGAGCCACAGGGCAAGAGACTCAGCGGCTGTGGTGACTTCTCAGCCCAGGACTCTGTGCTGGCAGCAAGAGACCTCCACAGCCAGCTCTTAGACTTCCCCAAGTGGCTCCAGCCGCACTGGCCCTGGGCAGAGAGCAAGCCGCTTCGGAGCCTGCTCTCCGTAGCATCCCTGCATGGCTCAGCCTAGCCCTCCCCCAACCCTCTGCCTCCTCCTGGGTCCCCCTCTCCCCTGGCGACCTCCTTTCCAGCCTCACCTACCTCCTTCCCCTCACTCTCCTCCTGGAAGGCACTGCGCTAACACTCATTAGCACATGTTAATGAGCCACCGTCCAACCCTGCAGGGGAGGGGAAGCAGAGATGTCGCTGTCCCGGTGAGGGAAGGTGTCCACCACCCGGCACAGACCCACCCCAGGTGCAGACCACCGGGGACAGCTGTCTGCTGCCCTCAGGAGGTGCTCTCAGACCAGCAGGGAGGATCCCTGGACCAGAGGCCATGACAGGCAAAGTCCCAAGATGTCCCCAGGTGGGTGTGAAGACCGATTCTGCCACCCCCTGCACCAATGTCACAAAGCTCCCAGAGCAGGTCCAGGGTGAGGCAGGTGCAAAAGGGTGAAGGGAGGTCACCTGGGGAGGGGTAACCAAGACCCAGACAGTGGACCCGCCCCCCCACTCCCCTTCCTTCTGCGTCCTCCCCCCACACACACTCCCCTCCCTTCTGCGTCCTCTGTTGATCCAGCCTTGGCCCCTTTAAGCGTGGACAGAGCCCTGGGTTCGAATCCTGGCTCTGTCCCTTGTTTGTTGGGTCAAGTGTGAGTCTCAAATCCCTCATCGGAAAAGCGGCCCCCTTCCTTCTGCTGTGGAAAGGGTCGGTCGGGTGAGTGGGCCCAAGAGCGCGTCCCGTGCTGCGTTATCTGTCATGCGAGGGCAACCTCCCTCCGTCCTCACCGACAAGACAAGCCTTCGGGGGTCGCTGGCCGGACGCCCCCGCCGCGCCGCGCCGCGCCCCAGCGCGATGCGATCCCCGGGGTCCGCACGCCCCCTGCCGGCGGCCGGCAGCGCGCGCAGCGGCGGGACCGTATATAAGGGCCGCGTGGCGCGCAGCGCGGTGCGAGTGCCAGCGCCGAGCCGACGCGAGCGGAGCGAGGTTCTGTCCAGGTCTCCGAGCAGCTCGCCATGGCTGGCCCGCAGCAGCAGCCCCCTTACCTGCACCTGGCCGAGCTGACGGCGTCCCAGTTCCTGGAAATCTGGAAGCACTTTGACGCAGACGGTCAGTGGAGCGCCCAACTTCTGCGCCCACTGGCGCGCGGGGAGGGGACCGGCGGCGGAGGGGCGGGGGCCTGGCTGCAGGCGGCCAGGTGCGCGCGTGTGGGGCCCGCGGGGCTACCTGGGCGCGGAGCCTGCGCGGCTGGGCGTCTTGCGTTCGGGCGGCGTCCGGCTGCTTTGGTCTCAACTGTCAGGAACTTTTGTTCCCTGACCCGAACGACAACGCAGAACCCACCCGCTTTTGCAGCCTGGTTCTCTGCAAGTCCGAACCTTCCCGGAGAGGAGGTCAGGGTCGAAAAGCGCCGCCACCCCTCGCGCCCTCCCCTGGCCGCCTTGCCCACATTTCCCTCCAAGGTAACTTCCTGCCTTCGCCTGCTGCAGCCACAGGTCTCAGCAAGCCCACTGGTTTCTTTCCTCGCCTCCCCTTTTTGCTGAATGCCCGATTAGTGGCATCCTGCAGGGGAGAGACCCCTGGCCTCTTCAAGCCGGGAGGCTGGGGGCAGGAGCGCAGACTGGCATCTGGGGGCTTGAGCACTCCTGGGTTTCCTGGGTCCGTTTCCCATCCCCATGGGCATGTGGGCTCCCCAGTGGCAGCGGCAGCGCCTGTGGCGGGGCAGGATTCCCTGGGGGTGATGATCCTAGGTGCGTCCGTGCCCCCCCCCGGGACCGGCCCCATGCTCTGTGTGTAGGCTTGACATGGAGTCAACCAGAAGACCAGGGCCAGACCCCGTGAGCTTCGGCGGCAGCTCCCAGGGTTGGGATCCAGGCGTCTGTGGGGGTCTGATTCAGGCATAGCGGGAGCCCACCCTCAGCCCCGTTAGAAGCTTCCGTCGTAGCTAGAGACATTGTCTCCATCGTTCAAAAAAAAAAATCTGATTTTTTTCTGGCATCTCAGATGCATGGGCAGGGTGGTGGCTCCAGGTGTTTCTCCTGGGGTGGCGGCAGGGATGTCGGGTGGAGGTGGGAAGCAAGGGTGCGCTCCATTCCTCCCCCTCCCCCTCCCTCACCTGGGTGGGAGGCCTGGCTGGGAGGTTGACACCCTGTGCCCACAGTGCCGTGGGCAGGCAGGGGTTAATGTCTGTGGCTGAAGTTGAGAGTGAGCTATCTGGACACCTGGTTTAGGATCCTGACCAGCCCACAAAGGAGGGGGTGGGTGGTTAAATCCGCCAAATGGGGCTGGGGAGGGGGTACTTCCGGTCCCTGGCCCGTGCCCTGACACCCCTGTGGTGGAAGGGCTATGAAAGGAATGCAGCCTCTTAGAATTCCAGGTACACGCACATCCCCTGAGGATGCTCCTGCCAGTTTATCCACACCGGAGACTTGCCGATTCAAGGAAAGTTACCAAGTGGCCAAGGTTACACCACGGGCCTGCTCGCAGATGAGTCAGCTCTAAACACAGGACTCCACATCTCCACTTTGCGCTGCTCTGGGGACAACCAATAGCGCCCTCCACAAACGAGCACGTCCTTACGTTTATCCCAGGCGTGGTACTGCTCAGAACAGTCACGCCTTCTTCATCCCTGGCCGTGAGGCTGCTGGGAGACCCTGAGCACCGCCCCCCCATGCAGGTGAGGGCACAGACACAGAGTGACGCACCTGAGGTCATGTAGCAAGTTCATGGGGGCTGGCTCCCTGTAGTGTTTACTTCTCCACTCGGGTTTCTGGACACCTGTGTGGGCAGGAAGAGGGGTCTTTCATGGCGACAGGTGTAAATCCCCACTCGCCCCCAGTCCAGCGCAGAGGTGACGGATGGGTCTTTCTCAACTGCAGAAGAGGGTCCTTGGCTTGGCTGGGGCACGGCTACCCCCCCCACAGCACCCCTGCAGCTGCAGCACCCCTGCCTGCCACCCCCGCCCCGCACCTGTAAGAAGGGCGCAGATCAATGCTGGTTTCTTGGTCCCTGTCCATGAGGCTTCTCACTGCCCCCTGTGAGTCACCAGCGCCAGGCAGGACCCGGGACCTAGCAGAAGGCAGGCAAGGAGGGCAAAAGACCAGGCAGGGCCAGAAGGGAGGTGCCTGGGATCCCACTGCAGGGTCCCCAGCTGGGCTTCGTGCCTCCATGCCGGTCCTTCCTCCTTGCCCCACCCTCTCCTCCTGAACCCCCAAAGGCGCCAGGTGTGGCCCACACCTCACCACCTGAGACACTCCTGGCCCTGTCTGGGCCTCTCTCTTACCCCCCCACCCCCCGCCAGGACCCCAGGAGAGCTCTCCTGTGCGGCCTGCCAGGTCCCTGGAGAGAGCGCGCCCGAACCCAATTAGTCGCAGGCACTAGGGAGCAAGAGCCGCCTCCCTGCCCTTTTCAGACCCTCAGAATAAACAAAGCCAAGGGGACCTTAGGAGAAAGCTGGAGCCCAGGAGGGGGTGGGAGGGAAGGGCTCTAACCCTCCCTGAAACGGGAGGAAGAGCCATTGTCCTTGTGGCTTTTCCCCAAAGAGGTAGGATATTTTCAAAATTAGCCTTGTGGTAGAGAAAGGCAGGAGCAGGTGTTTGGAGAGAGGGCCCTGGGGCTCAGAGAAGCAAACGTCTTTTGCAAGATCACACAGCAAAGCCGGAGGAGGCAGGAGGCGGCCTCCTAATGCCCTGCACACCCCACGGAGTCTGCCTGCCTTGGGACAGGTTCCCAGGCCGTCTGTCACTGGCAGAGGCGAGGTGGGCCCACCCTGTGACCACAGTGCGGCCTGGGGCTCCTTCCCGTCACCTCTGTGCTCTGAGTGGGCCCTACATGATTTCACATGTCCGAGGCTGTCCTTGCATTGCTTCCCGGCCACTTCCATGTTGGGTACTTGCTCTGCCAGACCCAGGCAGCAGAGGGGACGCCCCACTCCGAGCGCACACCGCCCTCTCGGTGTGGTTCTTCCCAGCTTCCTGTCTTGCTGGGGGGCCATGCTGCGGCTCAGGACGCAGCCGCCCTGGCCTTTGCTATCCCCTTGGAAGGAACTCAGTGCAGGATGCGAGGCAAGCAGACATTCCCAGGAAGCAGTAGGGATCCCACAGCTCCCGAGACTTCCTCCTACCCAGAAACACCCATGCAGTCGTGACATTAAAAAGTTACATGAACAAGAAGTCCATCGCAGGATTCTTTTGGGATACTGAAAATCGGCAGGGAAATGTGCTTTGCCAGGCAAAAGATGGGCTTCTCTTTGATGGAATATTATGCAGCCAGGAAGAGAGAGACGGAGCGTTAGCACTAAGGGGGATTTTCTTGCACTTTCTGGGTTAATTCCTATACTGGCGAAAGCTCCCGGGAGCTTGTATTCCCTGTGCAGTCAGCAACACAAGATGTGAAACATAACTTTATAGGTGCCTCCCTCCCCCAGTGGAAGTACACGCGGGAGGGCCTTCAGAAAGTTCTTGGGAAAGTGGAATTACAAGATACGCTGATTTGGGCACAAAAGATGGACAGGCAGGCGCTGCTTCGTTATAGTGCACATTCTGTGAGCTCCCAGAAAACCCTGTGGATCTCCTGGTGCAGGAGCGCGCCCGACTCTGCCAGGGCCTGTCCACCTGCACCTGGCCCAGGAAGTCAGGGGATCAGCAGGCCTTCCACGGGGCCACGCCTTGCCCTTTGTCTGTGTGAGCCTCTAGAAAAGGAGCGACAGGAACGACCACCACGAGCTCCGCTCAGTCTGCCCCTCCCTGTCCTCCTGACCCCAGTGGTCCTAACGGAAGTGGCCTCCAAACCCATGTTCCACTGAGGGCCGCTGGCCAGATCGGGGGTGGGGGGAGAGAGGACCAAACAGGCTGTCCCAGAGCACTGGCTGCTGAAGTTGTGTGCCTGGCGGGCAGGAAGGGGAGCAGAGCTGGAGCGAGAGCGCCTCCCAGAGGCTGGTAGATACCTGGCCCCTGGCACAGGAACGCTCAGTGGGGCCCTTGGAAGACAGGCCGGGCTACATTCAGTGTTGACCTACGTGCTGCCACAGTTACCATGCAGGGTCGCTGGGCTGCTTATACGGTGAGCCGGGTTTATAAGAATGCCTGGTTCCGGGCCCGTTGGCATCGGCAGGGCCTGGTGCGGAGAACCGAGATTACAGCTGCTGGAGGAGGGCTCTCTTCCCCTGCTAGTGACTCCCTGGGGGTCTGCACACTGGGAGTCTCCCGGGGCGTGATGTCGCATTACAGGCTCCCTGGGAGCAGCCCCCTGCCGCACCTCAGGTGGCCCTGGGACTAAGTCCCCCCCCCACCCCCAGCTGCCAGGGTTTGCCCTTTGGTATGGAGTGCCCTGCCCTGGCCCTTAAGCTGTGCCAGCCAAGGGCAATGGCTGGGTCTGTGACCGGAGCTAGGGCTGGGACACACACACACAAGATGAACCCTGCACCCCACTTTGCCCAGGGAGCCACCAGCCCAGCTGCTCCGACTTCCCCGCCTAGCTCATCTTGTTTATCCCCAACACACACACACACACACACACACACACACACAGCAGGCCTCAGTGCTTTTGCAAGCTGAGTCTTGGGGAGGTTCCCAGGGCTTGGGAGACCCCTCGGGAAATCTATACAATACCCAGGGAGCCAGAATTAATAGAGCGGGCACGAGGCTCTCCAAGAACAGGGCCTCTGCTGCGCTGGCCCCGCCGACTGGCGTCCTCCTGGCGATTGCATCATGCGCCCTCCTCCCGCCCCCACCCAGTCCCGCCAGAGGCCTCGCTGGGGGCCCTCTCCCCTCCTCGCTGCTTTTTGCTGTCCCCGCTCTCGCCCAATCTGCCCAGGCCTTCTGGCCTCCCCCACGCCCGGGTCTCAGCCCAGCACTAGGCTGCCAGATGTCCGCAGGTTCAGGGGCAGCAGCCTAGCTCCCCAGCCACCTCCAGAGGCAGTGCAGCCCAGAGGCACAGATGGAAACCTCAGTGTCCAAACCGCCATCCAGCAGCTGTTCACTGTGGGCTGAATTCCTTTTTCCTAGGAGCTGCTGGGAGGGAGTGTGTGTGTGTGAGTGTGTGTGTATGTGAGAGAGAGAGAGAGAGAGAGAGAGAGAGAGAAAGAAAGAGAGAGAGAGAGAGAGAAAGAGAGA